TACTATCTGCGATAGTACATAATACAAATGTATAATTTAATGTATATTCTTCAGTAATACAAGAAAATAACAAATAAAAATACATTTCTAAGTGTAAGATCTCAAAATTATATGAGCTGTTTAAGTTAGTTTGTATTAATAAGTAGAAATAGAAACAAAACATTTATAAAAATCAGTTTGTTTAGAAGTGAGATGATTGGTGATGCAGTTAAGAACAATTTTTCAATGGCTTCCATGACTCAAAATACATTAACTGATTTATATTCTTTTGAAATAAATAGTAACACATGCTGGAAAGGTTATAATCTTGCTAAAAGAGACCCGTTGAATATGAAACTCAAATGCTATGCCAGTGTTCCTTGAAGATGAACATCAAACACTTAGAGAACATAAATTACATATTATTTATGGTTGTAAACAGCATAACTAGTGCCTCTTTTCCATTTCCATCTCTTAAATCATGCTACTTAATTGATGATTCTGCTCCTATGATTTAGCGTACTCATCTGTTTTATGATTTATTCTTTCATGAAGATGTACTGAAATAATTCTAAAAGATATAGATAGAATAGAGAGAGAGAGAAAGAGATAATATTTTCTTTATCCATCCATCCTGTAGACAGTTAGCTCATTTCTATACCTTGGCTAATGTAAATAATGCTGCAGTGAACATGGGGGTGCACATATCTCTTCAAAATACTGATTTCATTTCTTCTGGATACATACCTGGGTAGGACTGCTGCTTCGACCAGTAATTTTCTTTAATTTTCTGAAGAAACTCTATACTGTTTTCTACACTGTCTCTGGGAATGTAAAATGCCAGTTCATCCTGAGTTAAAATTGTTCATGCTTATTGATTCTGGGCTTTCTGTTCCACGGGTTTGTTTCTGCATAAAATCCAGTGTTGTTTTCCCTAACATAGTCCTTTCTACGTGCTCTCGTGAGGCGTCCTGGTCATCTTACCCTATCACCTACCCTCACTGCATTGTAACTTTGTATTTCCCTTCTCCCTTATGTTCACCTTACACTTTAAGCTCCATGGGGCTAGGGACTATATTCATAGTGTGCACTCTGCCAGTGCCTGGGGCAGATTAGTCATAAAACGTGCTTATCAAATGTTAATATCTGAGAGGCAAAGACTCCTTAAGTCTGCCTTTCAAAATTTGATAAGGTATTTTGCATATTTTCAAAATTTGGATCATTTTTCTGATTGGACTACTCTGATTTTTTTATTGTGTTGTTGGCAGGCTAATATATCCAGGACAATATTAAATATTATTAGTGAGCATTTTTTCTGTTGTCCTAATTTTTACAGAAATGACTCTATAAAGTTTCATTATAAAGTTTTAGGTGGTTCTTTGCTTGAGATAACTTTTTTTGTTATCATGTTATAACAGTCTTATTGTATTCTTTGTTTACACGAAACTTTTCCTAAATACGGACAGTTGGAACCAATGGACTCATTGTTTATTGTAAATATTTGAGGCTACTAAGGAAGCTGACACAGCCCTTTCTATGAAAATGTCTCTCTATCCTCCTAAAGTGAAGGAAGGACAGTGAACGTTTAGGAGAAGGTCAGTGTCGGTGTCTCTTTCTTCAAGGGAAGTAATCAGTGAGCTGCCAGCACACACTGATCCTCTGGTACTGAAGTTCACAAAGTGGAGTTTATTTTTTTCTCCATTACAGGAAAACATGTATTTATTGAATCAGTTGATCAGTCAATTAGTACTTACTGCCTAGGATGCTTCAAAGGCTGGGGAAATGTTACCTATTTACAGATCAGTTATAAAATTACCATCATCCCAGAGCCTATAATAACCTGCTAGTTTTCCTATTTGTTTTAAGCTGAATATTACTAACTGGGACTCAGTAAATATGGCCCATTAATGATCATTTCTTGGGCTATAACGTGTTTTGAAAATCAGTAAATTTCCTGTGGGATGCACTTATTATTACTTATTTATAAAAATTGGAAGACACTGGGATATATATTCTCTATGGCTTTAGTTGCCATGGTCCCCACCACTCCCTATTGTCCTTTCCCCATTCAATTTACCATTCATATCTTTAAAGGCATTTTGGTTTGTGACTTTTAGAAGTCTTTATAAAAGTGGATTAATAACTCAGAATTTTTGAGCCAGGAAGAATGCTCCTAGTTATTTGGAGATGATTTTGCCTGAAGTAGATAAATATCAACATTTTTGTACAAGAGAGTATTCAAATTATAATTACTTTCAAATATACATTCTGAATTCCAGTCTTATTCCCAACAAATGGGCAGCAGAAACAATTTTTATCACTGGTGAATGCTCAGAGCCAGGTAGAACATAATTTCTTTCAATTCTACAAAGTTATGTATTTAAAAACTATTTTCTTGTACGTCTTTCTCAAACTGAACAGAAGACAATGTGTCTGGCTCATTTTTAATATCATATGTAATGCTTGGCATGAGGACTTGTGCAAATTATAGATATTCAATAAATGTTTGTTACATAATATATAAAAGAAATGATCCATTCCATGATTTGCATTAGCAGAAAAAGTATTTGAGGGTTAATCAGCTTCAATTATTTCCAAAAGCACTTATCAACATGTTTGTAACTTTCTCATCATTACCAGAAGAACAAAGTAACACTTACAAATGGTTGAAAAAAAACTGTACAGATATGATTTGCCGAAAAAATACATTTTTTAGTTCTTGAGCAATAATTTTTCACTGTAAAAACACATTAAGAAAAAAATGAAACTGCTTTTAAAAGAGTTACATAAGAAACTGATACTTGGGACTGATGGCCAGTTAAGTGTTTTCAAGTTTGTCAGCTTTTGAGCTCTTGAAAAGCTGATTACATCCAAAATAAAGATGCCAACTCCAGGCTGATAGAACTAGATCACTTTATTGAGGGATTAAAAGCTGTTTTAAGCAGTACTTTAAGAAAAACCAAGGAAAGAGACATTCAAATAGAAATTCCAGAACTAATCATTTTAGTCTTATCTTTAACCTTCCTACTTATGAATGGATTGCTAAATAAATACTTTTGCCTCTTGAAGTTCTTTATTTTACTATGAATATCCCAACTGGTAGAAAGTAAATTCCATGAAAAAATAGCCCATGCAAATGTTGTTCCTCACTTTGGCACAGATTAATTTTTGCAAATTTAGTTAGTTATGCTAAGGTTGTCTTCCAGTTATTCTTAAACTTGGCTGTGAAGCAGAATCACCTGGGGAGATTAATTTTTTAAAAATTACTCGTCTGGGTCCCATTCTTGGGCATTCAGATTTGATTGTCTGAGGTGCATCTTGGGCCTGGGGATTTTCTTTTTCTAACTGTTCCAGGTTATTTAAGCCTATAGCAGTTTGAGAGCCACTGTTCTAGCCCATAACTCTTAAAATTCCATTAATACCCCAGTATATCTTATCTTTTCTCACTTGCAGATGAAAAAAAAAAGCCTTCTTTGCTTCAGATTCCATGGAATAAAAGACATAAATATACAGTTTTACAGCAAGAACTGTCCAGGTAAAGATCATTTTAAGCCTCATGTTAGCAATACCTATTTACATTTTCTTGACTAACCCATTTCTTTCAACCTCTTGAGAGACAGAGAAGGAGAGAGATCTGTTCGTCCTGCCACTTCCAAAAACCCATGGTTATATATCCTGAATATATCTATAGCCTCTGGTCTCATATATTATTTGACGCTATACATTTTTTCTCACTCAAAACAACCACATCAACAAAAGGCAAATGTTACTTTCTTGCTTGCTCTAGGCATTACATTGCTGAACTTTCAACACCTTGTGTCACAATCACCACTACATCTAACCTCAAATATGCTTTTTATGAGCTTCTATTGAATTGAAAAAGCACTTTAAGCACTTTGAGACTGTCTCTCACTGAGAAACAAGAAGCCCCAAATGATCAGAGAATAAAAATTCTTCAATATATCAGACGTTTCATCCTCATGCCTGGTGTCCCTCATGTAAGCACTGATAGCATCATAGTGCCCCTATGACCAATGTTCAGATTTGTATAAGATTGAACATGATATGAACTACGCCTCTGTGTTAAGACGACAGGGCCCTCTTTTTATTTTGAAACTCACTTTTACCAGGCGGAATGGATTCCGATAATGTTACTCTGAAGTGAGACATCATTCGAGAGCAATGATTCTCTAAGTGAGACCCCCAAACAGAAACATCAGTATCATTGAACTTGTCAGAAGCCCTAATTCCTAGACCCCAACACACACTTATTAAATCAGAATCTCTGAGAGTGGGTCTGGAAATCTGTATTTTAATAAGCCCCCCATGTGATTCTGATATGTGTTAAATTTTTATAAGCACTATTATAAAGGGAAGATGACCCCTTGATACCTAGAATAAGCTAAACCCATGTCTGAGTAAGGGAAAAGACAAGTAGATCTCTTTTTGTGCTCTTGACACCCTCAGGGAGTTTTTGAAAAGGAAACATTTACCCAATGTAAGGAAAGACAAATCAAAAAGACAGTGATTAAAGGGTCAAATCACAGGTTGCTACAATTCGGGGGATGTTTAATGGTGTTACACGGAAAACAACATGGGATTTGTGCTTCTGTACCATAGAAGGATTCTGAAGAGGTTGGACCCCATGTGGAATTTAATCTTTCTGTCGAAAAGAGTTGAGATATAATTCAGCTCCATCAGAACACACACGAAGCTGGCCGGGGGCACAAACATGTCTCAGAGAGATAGAGAACAGAATACCAAAATGCTAGCCTACTAGACAATATTTCCAGGAAATAAGTCACTGGAAGAAGGCATTTTCAGAGTGCCCAGGAGGGAAAAGCTACCTTCTGCATGAATTCTATGAAACTAAACACATATATAACCGAAACTCAAGAAATGCAGTCAACAAAGACCTTGTATTTATACCCATCCCTCTGCCAAACAAAATAAAACAAACAGCAACAACAACAACAACAAAATCAAGTCTCTAAAGTTTCCTTTTTTGTATCTGGTTTTAGAAAAATCTTATTCTGAAATTTGAGTTTGACGAAAGGACTGAGTATTCCCTGCAAACAGGATGGAATGGGGTAAATTAGTTATGCCTGTCCACTGAAAGAAAGGAACAGAAGACACTGTGCAACGGTGAGTGTAAATCTCCATATGTAGCAGATTACATAGGTGCAGTTATTCAAAGGCGTCCATGAAGAAGGCTGGTGTTCTCTGAAGAGTGGGTATGGATAGCAACTGCTTCTGCTGGCTGGAAACACTCGGGGGATTTGAGAGTGCAAAGTTTCCAGCCTCATTCATGCCTCCTATCATTGTTCCCAATCAAATATGTATTATAAGGCCCCCACTCCTTTCCTTCTAGTTCTGCATAGTTTTGCATTTTTAATTAGTGCTGCAACTCTTCAACTCATACATTCACGACATGAGGGCAGTCTTCAGTCACACATGCCCTATTGCAATAGGGGATCGGTACTTCTTTAAAACTACTTCCAGAGTTTCTGATTTCCCATTTGTGTTCTGTGTTAGATATTTATAGCTTTTAATGTCTCTTTCTTCCCCTGTATGTTCTTGAGGGCCATCAGAGGAAGACATAATATTTATAGTCATTCTGTCACCATGGTGACTAACTGCCATAGCTACTTTGTCTCCCAATACGTTGCCCTCTGTCTGTATGCCATCTCACACACCATCATGATGATTTGAGCAATAATGATCTCACTATGTGGCATTGTTTACAAACAGATCAGTTACCTGGCTGAAAGGAGGCTCTCAATGTGCTTCTCAAAGAGCACTCTAGAATCTCCTTCTGAAAGGTTATCTTGGAGCCACTCTTGCTTCCCATCACTCTGTCAGTCAGGGCCCTGGCAGAAGTCCCGTGGACTTGATGCAGTATTAGTAAATTTCAAGAACTCACTCATCTCCTGCCAGTCAGTCTTTTGCTGTGCTTCCTAATTGCCAAACCCAAGTGGATACCAGGTAGTAGAGAGCTGGCTGATGCAGGTCATCAGTGCCTCTGAGACACAAAGTGGAGGATGAATCTGGAGAAGAAAGAGGAAGACATCTAGCACACCCATATCTGAGCTCTAAATGCAGTATTTGGCTTTTGATGTTTCTCCTTGATAAGAAAATCATAACAATATTCCTTAGAAGATGTTTAATATAGATGCTGACATCTGCTTTTTCTATTTCATCCAAGTGCAGAAAACAACATAGCAGGACAGAGACTGCTATCCTTAGAAAGGTCTGCTAGTCAGTTTGGTTCTTGGCTGTAGTCTGGAAACTTGGCTGGGAAACAGTTTCTCACAATGATACAAAATTCTGCTAAATGTTAAGTGGCTCATCATGCCTAACCTGTACAGCGAGGTTCACGTTAAGCATTTGCTTTCCCTTGGAAGTGTGGAATTTCAGTGCTTATGGCCAGTCATGTAACCAACCACAGTAAAATTCCTGGACTCAAAAGCTCAAAAGAGCTACTCTCGTAGACTACACTTCACATGTGCTGTCACAGCTGATTGCTGGAGGAATTAGGCTCCTCCTATGTGACTCCCCTGGGAGAAGACTCTTGTAAGCTTGTGCCTGGTTTCCTCTGGACTTCACCCCATGCACCTTTTCGTTTTGCTGACTTAGCTTTGAATGCTTTCACTGTAATAACTCATAGCCATGAGTACTGCTTCACCACTCCAGGACAAGTCCTGTGAGTCCTCTGAGTGAATCACTGAACTTGGGGGTAGTCTTGGGGATCCCCAACATAATACCGTGCGCTAATGTTAGAAAATCATAGGCAGAATTTTTACTCATTCATTCAAACATTTTGACTGCCTTCTGTAAAGTAGGTACTCTGTGTGTTTAAAAATGCCTTTAAAAATCAAGCAATTTTCAAAACCTTTAGCTATTTTAATGAAGTCAAAAGTCATTTTCAAGTAAACATAAAACATTCTTGTTTTATCTTGCCATTATCCTACATTGCTATCCCGAACAGTCAAACAATATAAACCAAAATTCAAGCATTTGAATAAGATGCCATTGTCTATCAGTAGCATTACTTCTCTGGAAGACATGGAGCCTGAGATCAGAGAATGGCATTTTATCTTATACTGAAATTTATCCAGGTACTGAAACAAATATTAAGTTTTAAAGATTAAACTCAAATACCTTTCTTTCTTATTCATGATTATCAAGTGTCCTACTTAAACTTTTCTACCTTTAACTTATTTTTAAATCTTTACACAGTAACTGAAGAATTTAAAAATAATAGTTAATAGATTTTGAGGTCAGTGCTTTGTTTTTATCTCAGCAACAGCTCTTTAACATAATAGAAATTTGAAAAATCTCAGTGCTTTTTAATCAATTTTTTTGTATATTTAAAAGTTTATAACTGAGAGTTTTCCACCTCTTGTAACAATAAGATGGACAAAATTTTTTGAGGGGAGGGGATAATTTTAAAATTTATTTCTAGAGGAGGTACCAGGGACTGAACCCAGGACTTTGTGCATGCTGAGCATGCACTCTACCTCTTTAGCTATACCCTCCCCCAAGAAATGTTTTTAAAGTAAGAGAACAAAAATGAACTAAATTAACTGTGATCTTTTTAAAACTCAAAGTAGCCTTACAATTATTTTTATACTATAAATCTGTCAACTAAATCATTTTATTTATAGAACGGAAACAAATGTTTAGATATATTAAAAGCTATCTATTTTATCATTTGGGGAATGGATATATTTTTTTTGAACTGACCAAAAAACCAAACAATAATGGAACCTGTATGAGAGAGATGTATATGTATTTTAGGGGAGGAAAAGTTTTTCCTCTATCCTCCTAGATTCTGCTGGGTGGTCTAATAATTAAGTTGGGATAAAGCAAACTAATTGGAAAAAAACAGATTTAATTAAGTAGATCTGGGGCCCCATAGGATATGAAACACCTAGGCAGTCAAGACTGAGACTTACATGCCTTTCAGAACTAAGAAGGGGATAGGAATCTTATGTTTCCAAGGGGAGTGAGACCATTCACAGGAAGATAGAACGAATGTTTGATAAATAAATGGTTGCCATGCCATGCAGAGGCAGTGGAAGACAGAGAGGAATTTGAATAAACAGGCCCTACCCAGTTCCCTGCCCTCCCCACCCGTTCCCCAGTTCACCACATCTAGCCCAGATTCTTTGTAGTTATCTCTGGTGACAGCTCTCTTCCTGGACTAGGCCCTCTACCTGAATCTTTTAGGTCATTAAAGGGGAGGTAAAAGCTCTGCCTGAGTCTTTTAGGCCTTGATTGTCTTCAGCTCAAAATAGCCTGCATGGCAAGGTGACACGTTCTGGGGAGACGTGTTCTGAATCCCATCAGTATGTACATCTTTCCGCCAACGAGGTTGCTGAGAGAGTCTTTCATCTTTTATCCCTTTTATCTTTAAAAATAATACAGTTTTTGTAAAACAAGAACAACATTTGTGGAAGAAATTACTTTTTCACTCTGGAGTAAGGACAGTGGTATTTTAGTATGAAAACACTGGTGAGGGGAAAGGAAGAGATGTTGAGGTTATGGCAGTTTATTCATATTTCAGTCTGCTGTTTCTCCATGATATCTTTTCTCCTGAAATTTCATTTAAAGCAAAATGGCAGAAACTTGCTTTTTAAAAAATTCTATTTATTTAGTGTCAGTTAAGGGACAAAAAAAACTCTCATGTGAGAATAGTAGAGAAAATTCATGGCAAGGGCTATCAATTGTAAGGAGAGCATAATCCAGTGGATTAGGTCTAGCTGTGACCACAGGAGTTTTCTAGATGGATGCAGATGGTTAGTTGTAACTAGAACATACATAAAAGAACTCCCCTCTCTAAAACTCAGCAGTAATCCCATTTTATTTTCAGACTAGTTTTTATAAGCAATGTGTATCTAAAATATAAAGCAACACATATATACATAAAAAAACTAATTAAAATAAAAATTGCTGCCTTTTTATCTAGGAGAGGCGAGGTCGTGCCTTACCCTGCAGCTGTCTTTTGGTGAGAATATTACAACTTAGCTGGATGGCTTGGCTTATGCACTAAAATATCAAAACAAACCAACAACAGAGTTATTTAAACTCAAACATCTGAGGTAGTCTGTTGGTAAAATTTATACTTGAGGCTATTTTTTTAAGTCAAAATGAATATATTCATAAGAAAACAAATACAAATTAGCTACCTTAGTATAGAAATGGCTATCCGGTTGGCTGTTGAGTGAAAACTGGAATGCGTGTAACTAGATAGGCCATGAATTATTATCATAGTTTACTTTATCTTCTAGTGAATCATTTTACTTTTAATAGATGCAGTCAAATTTCAGATGCATCACAGCTTTTCTTGGATTACTTCTTAATATAGAATTCAATGAGTCACTTGCTTAGGTGGAAAGAAAATCAATACTGCAAATGAATTCATTTTTTCCATAGAAATCCCCAAGAGAAAGCATTCTTTGATCCAGTAAATTTCTTAGAAAAAAATATGTTCTATTATTGTAATAAATATGTACTTAGTCATTTTACCCTGTAATAATTATATTACAACTCTGTTTTAACAGTGTAAACCATTTTCTTTCCTCTTTATAGAGCGTAATTGTAAGTTATCATGCATTGCAATTCTTAGGTATAAACTATAAAATTCAACACATAAAGAAGTACTCTCAAGATTTGCAGCATTATCACAGTCTAAGAGACAATCTTGAGATCGACTCTTACTGAGAATTTTTTGTCATCTCTGTTGAATCTGTGGATTTTCTGAAAACACTGTAAGCAGTAGAACTGCTGGCCACATAAATTGTTATTTTGACAAAGCAAAGGACTACTAATCTGCATAAGGAGAATCTAGTTAGTTAGAGATGTTACTATTTCTCCAGCAAGACTCGAGGGAGAAAATACCTTGTCCAACTTACAAAGATTCCTATCCTCCTGACAAATTTAACTGGAGAGTTTATCAGACTTCTAGTATGATGACCTGTCATTATAACCTTGGTTATACCTCTTCATAATACCCATGCTTGGCAAACAACATCTGGCCATAATTTTATCTCATTTCTAGAGAGCTGTAAAAGTGAAGAACATGGAGTGCGAAAAATGGAAAAGGATGTAAGATGGGGATAGGAACAGAATAGAAT